TAATTCACGTAGGAGACGTTGGGGGCTTGAACTAAGACGGTAGCAGTGCATATAGAAAAGGTTGGATGGAAGTGGTATTAACTAGAAGGAACTATAGGTCTTTTTGGTTGACTGATGGGACCTTCACTTGGAGGAGAAAGAAAAGTCTAAGAATGTTTCTTAAATTTGAGTAACGTATCAAGCTCTTTTAAAGGAAAAACCTTCCTGGTCCTGTGTAACTTAAATTACCATATATACGCAGATCCCAACTGAAAGGCAATTGTTTTTCTCTAATTTCAAAAAAAAAAAAAAAAAAAAAGGATATTTGTGGTAGGTTAGTGTACAAATGAACAAAGTAACATTTCTGGTGATTTCTGCATGCATGAACTAGATGAGGGGAGGATGAGGAGGATAAGGGCATTGCAAGCATGTAATTTTGTTTGACTGCAATAAACTGTGTAGGATGAGGAAGAAGAAAGGCAAAGCCAGAGAAATAGGCTGAGGCTTTCCGGGTCATAAAGGCTTGAATTTATACTGCAGGCATCCGAAGAAAGCCGTTAAGGGATTTTAAACTGGAAGATGATATATTGAGACTTACATTTGGAACGTATCTCCCACAGCGAGGTGGGAAATGGAGTAAGATCAATTAGGAGCTTATAGAAGTAATCAAGGTAAGTGTTAAGGACTTGCCTTAGAGACAGTAATAGTGCAGAAGAGAAAACAAATGAGAGACATTAAGAGTAGAGTTAGCACTTCCATTTCTTTCAGTAAGGATAGTGTAGAGCGAGGCCGGGTGCAGTGGCTCACGCCTGTAATCCCAGCACTTTGGGAGGCCAAGGCGGGTGGATCACGAGGTCAAGAGATCGAGACCATCCTGGTCAACATGGTGAAACCCCATCTCAACTAAAACTACAAAAAATTAGCTGGGCATGGTGGCACGTGCCTGTAATCTCAGCTACTCAGGAGGCTGAGGCAGGAGAATTGCCTGAACCCAGGAGGCGGAGGTTGTGGTGAGCCGAGATCGCGCCATTGTACTCCAGCCTGGGTAACAAGAGCGAAACTCTGTCTCAAAAAAAAAAAAAATGGATAGTGTAGAGCGATAACGTGGATAACCCTGTTGCTGAGGAAAAAAGTGCTGAATAAAGTATGTATAAAAAAATGTTTTTTTGGCCTGGTGTGATGACTCATGCCTGTAATCCCAGCACTTTGGGAGGCTGAGGTGGGTGGATCACCTAAGGTCAGGAGTTCAAGGCCAGCCTGGCCAACATGGCAAAACCTCATCTCTACTAAAAACACACTAGCTGGGCGTGGTGGCGGGCACCTGTAATCCCAGCTACTTGGGAGGCTGAGACAGGAGAATCACTTGAACCTGGGAAGTGGAGGTTGCAGCAGTGAGTCAAGATTGCACCATTGCACTCCAACCTGGATGACAAGAGTGAAACTCTTTCTCAAAAAAAAATAATAATAATAATTAAAAAAAAATACATTGTTGGGTCAAGTGTGGTGACTCACGCCTGCAATCCCAGCACTTTGGGAGGCCAAGGCAGGTGAATCACCAGGTCAAGAGACCCAGACGATCCTGGCCAAGATGGTGAAACCCAGTCTCTACTAAAAATACAAAAATTAGCTGGGTGTGGTGGTGCACACATGTCATCCCAGCTACTTGGGAGGTTGAGGCAAGAGAATCCCTTGAAGCCTGTAGCCCCAGCTACTCAGGAGGCTGAGGCAGGAGAATGACTTGAACCCGGGAGGTGGGGGTTGCAGTGAGCCGTGACTGCACCACTGCACTCCAGCCTGGCAACAGAGCGAGACTTTGTCTCGTCTCAAATCAAAACAAAACAAAACAAAATTATTGGCTGGCAGCAGGCTAAAAATGAAGAATGCAGATGTTAGCCACCTTTAAAGCAGATCTGGTGGAATCTGTCTGCACTGGATGGCTTTAAACTTCCCTTTTGGTAGACTCATGGGTCTCAGGAAACAATGCTTAGGGCCTTGCCAAGAAGGAAAGGGGTCTGAAAGAAAGCCCCTCCCCTTCATGAAGCAGAGAGTAGGATGTTTCCACCTTGGCAGTGGGGAGGGGATGTATGGACATGAAGATCTTCACAGAGAATTTATAACAAGGATTGTTACAGTCACATTTCCCATGTGGTCTTGAAAAACTTCCAAGTCCAAAATATATTTAAAGTGGTCTCTGTTTGGTAGTGCCCGTGGGTGACTTGCAAAATCTGTCAGATCATCCTCTTAGGAAGAAATGTACCTTCAACCCCAGGCTTCAAAATTCTACAGATTAAAATTCCAAGGCACTTGAGATCACAGTAAAAAACATCACAAATCACACATAAACTGTGGCACAGTGAGTAAGATCCACCAGGAACAAGAGACAGTGACCTATAGAGACTGTAGAAAATTTATATTTTCCCTTAGTAATTGCAATACATTTGGTTAATATGTTTGAAGAAATGACAGATTGAAATAGGAGTATGAATTAAGGATCTCTAAAATATGATTAGGCAGATAAAGATGTCAACAAAAACAACTTCTAGTTATAAAAAATTAGCTGAAATCAAAAGCTCAGTGAGCAAGTAAAGAAACAGATTGGCACAGCTAAAGGGATAATGTGTGAACTGGAAGATAGCATTGAAGATATTACCCACAGTGCACCAGAGAGAGCTAAAGAAACAGTATGCATATGAAAGAAAGGTTGAGACAAAAAGTCGGAGTGAAGGGTTGTGCCATACCTCTAATTGGAGTTACAGAGGAAATAAGTGTGAATGGAGGGGTGAGGCAGTGGTCAAATAGAAATTACTGGGAAATTTTCAGAATTGATAAAAGATAATCTTCAAGTGGCAGAAGTCCAGTGAACCCCAAGGAAGATAAATCACCCCTGACAAATCAGTGAAATGCAGAAGGCTAAAAAGACAGAGGGCCTTACAAGCAACTGGAGAGAAACAACAGATTGCTATAAAAACATTTTTCTTTAGTCTGGCAACTGATTTCCCAGCAGCAACAACAGAAGCCAGAGGACATTGGAATGCTGTCTTCTATATTCTGAGAAAAAATAGCTGTCAGCTTTGAAATGGCATACCCAATAAAACTGTCAGGAATGACAGCAAAATACAGACATTTTTCAGACAGAAATTGAAGAGCATTTACCACCAACAGAAGGAGATTCTAAGGGACGTAATTCAGATAGAAGAAAAATCATCCCAAATGGAAAGCTTGAGGTGCCTTTTAGTGGCCATAAAATGTTCAATTTATATTCTATTATTAGACATTTATGTTGTTTCCAACTTTTCAATATAAACTGAAACTATGCTGGACATGTGTATGAACATGTTTATACATATAGTATTTTATGTAGATTTTATTTTCTTTTGACTAGAAGCCCAAATTACTGAGTCAAAAAAGGAATGAGTATTTTTGTTTCTGGAATACATGTTGTAAAATTGTTTTAAAGGACCGTACCAATTTACATTTCATTTAGCAGACTGTTAGCTTTACTTTATTTACAAATGAGTAAGTTTGTGATAAGGACATTTTTAAATGATGAAGATTGACATTTCTTACCAGATTTTGACTTAGTTATGTCTTAGACAAAAATGATCCATCTTGCCGGGCGCGGTGGCTCACGCCTGTAATCCCAGCACTTTGGGAGGCCGAGGCGGGTGGATCTCAAGGTGAAGAGATCGAGACCATCCTGGTCAACATGGTGAAACCCCGTCTCTACTAAAACTACAAAAAATCAGCTGGGCATGGTGGTGCGTGCCTGTAATCCCAGCTACTCAGGAGGCTGAGGCAGGGGAATTGCCTGAACCCAGGAGGCGGAGGTTGTGGTGAGCCGAGATCGCACCATTGCACTCCAGCCTGGGTAACAAGAGCGAAACTCCGTCTCAAAAAAAAAAAAAAAAAAAAAAAAATCCATCTTTCTTTGCCATTGGTATTAAAGATGCTTTTGGTGTTTTTTTTTGAGACGAAGTCTTGCTCTGTTGCCCAGGCTGGAGTGCAGTGGTGCGACCTCTCACCGCAGCCTCTGCCTCCCCTCCTGGGTTCGAGCAGTTTTCTTGCCTCAGCCTCCCAAGTAGCTGGTATTACAGGTGTGCGCCACCATATCCAGCTAATTTTTGTATTTTTGGTAGAGACTGGATTTTACCAGGTTGATCAGGCTGGTCTCAAATTCCTGACCTCGTGATCTGCCCGCATCAGCCTCTCAAAGTGCTGGGACTACAGGTGTGAGCCACCGAGCCCAGCCTGATGCTTTCTCTTTAACAGGAACAGAAATGCTAACTGGAATGTATTCTTTCTAACAAAGCATTTCTAACTGTCTAAAATGTAGTCTTTCATTTTTCTTTATCTTTTTTCAGCTTGTTCCCAAATATATACTTGGGCCATTTAAATAAATGGCAAAGAAAAAGAAAAAAATGCTTTAGTTGTTGTTAGTCTTTTTTCTTTTTCTTTTTTTTTGAGATGGAGTTTTGATCTTATTTCCCAGGCTGGAGTACAATGGTTTGATCTCGGATCACTGCAGCCTCCGCTTCCCGGGTCCTCCCAGGTTCAAGCAGTTTTTCTGCCTCAGCCTCCTGAGTAGCTGGGAGTACAGGCATGTGCCACGACGCCCAGCTCATTTTGTGTTTTTAGTAGAGACAGGGTTTCTCCATGTTGGTCAGGCTGTTCTCAACTCCCGACCTCAGGTGTTCCGCCTGCCTGGCCTCCCAAAGTGCTGGCATTGCAAGTGAGCCACTGTGCCCAGCCTAGTTTTTGTTTTATTATGAAGGATGATTACTCTTTAATGCTGCCACATTCTTTCCTAGCTTTGTGTATTTTACGTCAAGAAAGTGTACATTTTTTCTAGCTCTGTGTATTTCACAATGCAAAAGTAACCAGTAAGTTTAAGAAAAGAAAGTCATTCATTCCGAAAGGGAAAAATACTATTAATTTACTTGGGAATTTTAATATGAGCTGAATTTAAGAGGTTGTCTTTTTTTTTTTTTTTTAACGTTTTTCCTGTCTTTTTACTGTTTCAGGTGCAAGTGAAAGTGTAGGGAAACACATGCTTGAAGCGTGCAACAATAACCTGGAAATGGCGGTCACTATGTTTCTGGACGGTGGAGGGATCGCTGAAGAGCCCAGCACCAGCTCAGCAAGCGTCTCTGCCGTCAGACCACACACCGAGTATGAATTTATTACGTGTCGGCAGGAGCTGTCTGTTGCCTAAATTAAGTAGTTGCATTTTAATCAGAGCTAGTTCAGTTCTCTGGTTTTGAAATAAATGAAAGGCTGAAAGCCTCTGAAAGTATCAGGTGGAAATTTTTGTAGTTACATAGTTTAAATTCTTTAGAGTACTGTCTTGCCTTATTTAATCCTCAAAGGATCCATATAGGCTCTGTGAAGTCGGGGAGGTGGGGTTGGTGGGAGTGTGTGGTGCTGTTCTAGGATTGGCCTATGGCAGCAGCAAACAAACAAGCACGTTATTGGATGGCATTATCGACATTTTACCAGTAAGGAAGCAGAGGCATAGCCATTTCCCTAAGTACACAGCAATGAAAGCAGTAAAGCCCAATAAAGCTCAGATTTCCCAATTTTAGATTTTTCTACATTGTCACAAATGTTTTGAGTTGCCATGAAAAATGCTTGAAGATAATTCTAGTCCTTTATTCCTTAGTTAAATGTAGTTAATCTGTAGAAGCATCTTCAGCATATTTGAAACTGTAGTATATAGAAAATAGTAATAAGCAGTGAAGAGACTTGGTGTCTTGGCCATTAATAATTTATACCCATGAGAGTTTGAAGTAAATAACTGTTGGGCAAAACTCCAGCAGTCTTTGGAAAACATGAGATATGCACCTTGCTCAAGGGAAAGCCATTAATTTTTGAAACAAAAATTTTTAAAGGTCCTCAAGATGCTCATAACTTTTTATAAGTCTCATTGTTTACAACATGAGATATTAAACAAGAGGAATCCTTTTAAATAGGAATAGGCAAAAGACCAGGATTTTAGTTCTACTAAATTAGAGATAAATTTAAAAAGCCAGATCACATGCAGACATAATTGTTTCTTTCATTAATCGAGTTCCAGATACCAGCATAATTGTTTTCTCATGAACTACGAACTTTAGAGATCATTATTAATACCTTATAAAGTTTTTTCTGGCCAGGTGCAGTGGCTCATGCATGTAATCCCAGCACTTTGGGTGTCCAAGATGGGCGGATCACCTGAGGTTAGGAGTTCAAGACCAGCCTGGCCAACATGATGAAACCTCGTCTCTTCTAAAAATACAAAAATTAGCTGGGTGTGTTGGTGCCAACCTATAATCCCAGCTACTCGGGAGGCTGAGGCATAAGAATTGCCTGAGCCCAGGAAGGGGAGGTTGTACTGACCAGAGGTCATGCCGCTGCACTCCAGCCTGGGTGACACGGGAAGAAAGACTCTGTCTCAAAAAATAAATAAATAAAAATAATGTTGTATAGTTTTCTTCTGTTAATGTTGGCCATGTATTTCACTCCCAGTATAGCTCAAACTTTTAATAGAAATCAGTATGAATCTAATATTTAAAAAAAAAAAAAAAAGTCCGGGCACGGTGCCTCCTGCCTGTAATTCTAGTACTTTGGGGAGGCCAAGGCAGGAGAATGTGTTGAGCCCAGGTATTTGAGACCAGCTTGGGCAATATAGCAAAACCCCATTCTCTACAAAAAACATACAAAATCTCAGTCGCGTGTGGTGGTGTGGGGCTGTAGTCCCAACGACTTGGGAGGCTGAGGTGGGAGTATCACCTGAGCCTGGGAGGTGGAGTTTGCAGTGAACCATGATTTTGCCACTGCACTCTAGCCTGGGTGACACCGAGTGAGACCTCCTGTCTCAAATAAAACAAAAAAAACACCTAATATAGAAACTTGAATAGCAAATATTCATGGTTGATTTGGGAGAGCACATCTGGCCTCATTGTATAACACATGCGTTCTCAATTGTGTTTAGCAACAGCTTTTTGTTTTGTTTTGTTTTGTTTTGAGACAGAGTCTCACTCTGTCGCCAGGCTGGAGTGCAGTGGCGCGATCTCGGCTCACTGCAACCTTCAACTCCTGGATTCAAGCAGTTCTCCTGCCTCAGCCTCCCAGGTAGCTGGGACTCCAGGTACATGCCACCATGCCCAGCTACTTTTTTTTGTATTTTTAGTAGAGACAGGGTTTCACCGTGTTGGCCAGGATGGTCTCAATCTCTTGACCTCATGATCCGCCCGCCTCGGCCTCCCAAAGTGCTGGGATTACAGGCTTGAGCCACTGTGGCCGGCCAACAATAGTTTTGATAAATGAATACCCTTTCCTACTGAATTACCCTGTAACTTGGCTTGGATGGTATGTATTGCTAATTGATTAACATTTGATAATGGCTTCTAATTCCTAAAGTATAATTTTCTTTATTTACTTTACTTTTTTCTGCTTCATCATTCCACTCTTGGTAGCTGACAGTCTTGGTAATGATACCGTCAGATAATGTAGTAATCAAGTCTTTTCGTGTAAGGACAACTGTACTACTTAATTCACCCCTGTCACTGATGTATTTCATCAGATTAAAGTTTGTTTGTAGAACAACGGAATTGTCTGATGAGACAATTATATATAATAATAACAAAAAAGTGAGGTATAACAATAATGGAAAGTTTCGTTTAGGTAAAAATGTTTTTTAATTTCTTAGTTTTCTTTTTTTTTTTTTTTTTTTTTAATTGAGACAGGATTTCACCATGTTGGTCAGGATGGTCTTGATCTCTTGACCTCGTGATTCGCCCGCCTCTGCCTCCCAAGGTGCTGGGATTACAGGCGTGAGCCACTGCACCCGACCTAAGTTCTTAGTTTTCTTAAGATAATTAATAGGCCTTTTTCTTTTTCTTTTTCTTTCTTTTCTTTTTTTTTTTTTTTTTTTTTTTTTTTTTGGAGACAGAGTCTTGCTTTGTTGCCCAGGCTGGAGTGCAATAGCGTAGTCTTGGCTTACTGCAACCTCCACCTCCCGGGTTCAAGCGATTCTCCTGCCTCAGCCTCCTGAGTAGCTGAGATTACAGGCGTCCACCACCATGCCTGCCTATTTTTTGTATTTTTAGTAAAGATGGGGTTTCACCACATTGGCCAGGCTGGTCTCGAACTCCTGACCTTGCGATCTGCCCACCTTGACCTCCCAAAGTGCTGGGATTACAGGCGTGAGCCTCTGCTCCTGGACTCTCTCTTTTTTTAAACACAGTCTTGCTCTGTCACTCAGGCTGGACTATAGGGGTGTGATCTCTGTGAACTGCTGTTAGTTCACTGCAACTTCTGCCTCCCAGGTTCACGCAACCTCAGCCCCTCAAGTGGCTGGGGCTATAGGTGCATGCTACCATGCCTGGCTAATTTTTGTATTTTTTATAAAGATGGGGTTTTGCCATGTTCCCTAGGCTGGACTTGAACTCCTGAGCTCAAACAGTCCAACTGCCTTGGCCTCTCAAAATGCTAGGATTGCATTCTGCCTGTCCAGCCTATTTCCTTTGGTTGAAAGGATTGACAGAGCTTCCTCCTATGGATGTATTGTCTCAGATTATTGAAATTTTACATGTGAGCAGTAGGAAAGAGTGCTTAACATAATTTTGAATTGCCATTTTATTCTTTCGTCACTTGGTTTATTGGAGGTTTCTTTTCTCTAACTGGTGGTTCTTTGATTACAGGATGTTAGTATTGTTGATAAATGAGTATTCCTACTTCATTTCATAAAGGATGTTTTGGAGTTCCAACTCTCAAATATCAAAAACAAGGTCTTAAGCTTAGTTACTAGTGTTCAGAACACCTGAATGAAAATCAGTAGGCCTAACATAAATTTATATGGAACTTACATGCTTATATAATAATATTTATCATAAGCGAGAAGATATGAATTAGAAAGTTACTATTTGCTGTGAAAATTAATCAGCAAAGTTCAATACTCGATTTACAGCTATAAAATAAACTAATATGGCCAGGCATGGTGGCTCACGCCTATAATCCAAGCACTTTGGAGGCCAAGGCAGGTGGATCACCTGAGGTCAGGAGTTCAAGTCCAGCCTGACCAACATGGTGAAAGCCCATCTTTATTTAAAAAAAAAAAAAAAAAAATTTTAAAAAAAGCAACTAATATTTCTCTCTTTCTCTCTCTCTCTCTCTCTTTAAGAGATGGTGTTTTGGTATATTGCCAAGGCTGGTCTCAAACTCCTGGGCTCAATTGAGCCTCCCACCTCCTCTCCCAAAGTGCTGGCATTACCCACTATACCCAGCCTAAAATAAACTAATCTTTAAAGGCACACACCATTTTTATAGTATATCTAAATGAGTTTTTTCTTATTGGAAGAGATGGATTATCGATAAACGCTGTAAATATAAACCTTGAAGATAATAGGCTTTTAAAAGATGAGTAATTACTTTTTTTATTCTGTATGTTAGGATCTTTTTAGTAAATAATTCAAGATCATACCTGTTAGCCTTTCATAATTATCATGAAATGTCTAACTAAACCATTTGAGCTATGTGTGCCAGGTACTCTTCCACTTGAGCTTTATGTGGAAACCATCTAAAACTCATTCATCAGCTGGATGCAGTAGCTCATGCCTGTAATCCTAGCACTTTGGGAGGCTGAGGTGGGTGGATTGCCTGAACTCAAGAGTTCGAGACCAGCCTGGCCAACATGGTGTGACCCTGTCTCTACTAAAAATATGAAAAAATTTAGCCAGGTGTGATGGTGCATACATGTAGTCCCAGCTACTAGGGAGGCTGAGGCGTGAGATTCGCTTTAACTCGGGAGGTAGAGGTTGCAGTGAGCCAAGATCGTGCCAGTCCACTCCAGCCTGGGTGATGGAGTGAAAGGCTGTCTCCTTCCCCTCCCCCAAAAAAACCAAAAAACCTATTTATCATCATTACTATGCTTCTAAAAGTCACTAAGTTAATTTGAATGCATTCACAGTAATAACAGAAATCAAACAGCAGAAAACAGTTTTCATTTTTTATTTTTCCATTTTTTTTAATAGAGAAGAAGTTCGTGCCCCAATTCCTCAAAAGCAAGAAATACTGGTGGAACCAGAACCATTATTTGGTGGTAAGTTCACTTTGTTCCCTTAGTTTTATTTGATTTTATTCTTTAGGATTTTAATGAAACCATCGAAAGATGTGAGGGCTTGCTCGGAGACTGTTACAAGGGTAGTTTTAATTCTTATCTTGTTTTTTATAGTCCTGTCAAGAAAGTTGCACAGTTGGCTCACAAAGAGTGAAGCAGATGTTAAAAATTGATATTTGTTGGAAAAGGCGAAAAGGAGGAACATTAGCAAAAAGAATTGCTGGCTTGTAATGGGAATGAATACTGATAAAAGACTCTGGTTGTGTTTACTTTCTGGATACCTGCTTGACTGCCATATCCTTACTCTCTAGCTGTGCCTCACCTTCTCTCTTAATTTCTAGAAGTCCTATTCCTATTTTGAATAAAGGACACAGTAACCCCTAATTGATGTAAAAAATTGTGATATTAGTCTGGGTAGAGACTGGTGATAGAGAATGGGACATTTAATCAGATTGATTTATAGTTAAATAAGTACTTATTTCCCTTTTGTAAGCCAAAGAGTTTAGGTGTTAATAATGGGTTTATATAGAAGAAATAGATGGAATTATAATCTGGTTGGGCAGACCAAGACAGGTAGCTGTATATAGTATGTGTTGAGAACAGTTCTGCAGAGAAATACTTTGCATTGAGGTGGCTCACACCTGTAATCCCAGCACTTTGGGAGGCCGAGGTGGGTAAATCACTTGAGGCCCTCCGTTCGAGACCAGCCTGGCCAACATGTCAAAATCCCATCTCTACTAAAAATACAAAAATGTGTTAGGCATCGTAGCACATGCCTGTAATCCCAGCTGCATGGGAGGCTGAGGCACTAGAATTGCTTAAACTGGGAGGCTGAGGTTGCAGTGAGCTGAGATCATGCCACTGTACTCCAGTCTTGTCAGCAGAGTAAGACTCTGTCTCAAAATAAAGAAATAAAGTTGAGTACAAGAGACATATGTAAATTTTTTAACCTCCAACTTTTATTTTAGGTGCAGGTTTGTTACATGGGTAAATTGCACGTTCCATGGGTTTGGTGTACAGATTATCACTCAGGTAATGAGCATAGTACCTGATAGGTCGTCCTTCCTTCCCTCCCCTCCCCTCCCCTCCCCTCCCTCCCTCTTTCTTTCTTTCTTTCTCTCTCTCCCTCTTCCTTTCTCTCTCCCTTCCCTTCCTCTCTCTCTCCCTTCCCTTCCCCTCCTGTCTCTCTCCTTCCCTCCCTTCCCCTCCCTTCTCCCCTCCCTTCTCCCCTTCCTCTCCCCTCCCTTCTCCCCTTCCTCTCCCCTCCCTCTCCCCTCCCTCCTCTTCTCTTCTCTTCCTCTTCCTCTCTTCTCTTCTCACTGTGTTGCCCAGGCTGGTCCCAAACTCCTGGGCTCAAGCGATCCTCTGGCCTCAGCCTCCCAAAGTGCTGGGGTTACAGGAGTGAGCCACCACGCCTGGCCTATAGGTTTTTTTTTTTTCCAATCATTACCTCCTCTCGCCTTCCACCCTCAAGTAGGCCCTGGTGTCTGTTCCCTTCTTTGTGTCCATGTGTACTCAGTGTCTAGCTCTCTCTTAACAGGAACATGCGGTATTTGGGTTTCTGTTCCTGCATTAATTCACGTAGGATAATATATGTGATTGTAGGATAATATATGTGTAGCTTCATCGGTAAACAAAGATGGAGAAGGAGATACAGGTTGTAACAAAAGGATGAATAAAATTATATGTATGCCTTTTGATTTGATAAAGCACCTTAGCTGAGAGTTTTTATAAGATAAACGTTTTTAACTTAGCTGCTTTGGTGTTTATTATAGCACGAAACAAAATAATATACTGTTGAGATTCAGAAGTAAAAGGCAAGAGGAAAGCCATAAGGTCTGAATTCTGCAGTGTGACAATGTGCTTTCCAGACTGTCAATTCAGATAGTCGTTAAGATGTTAATATATCAGGTGTAATAAAGCATTGTTCTTAATTTTTAAGAACGTAATTGGAAAATTTTGCTCCAATAGTTTTGGAGCAAAAGAGTCATACCCTTGGAAGCTTTACCTTCTCTTATTACAAGGAATAATACAGGGTCTTTGAGCAGGTAGGACTATAGAAAGTAAAGTCTGTGCCATCTTGCTTTTGGAGAGAGGCAAAATAATTCCATCTGAGAGCCCCACTTTACTTTCTCTCTCTCTCTCTCTCTTTTGTTTTACAGAGATGGGGTCTCTCCAGGCTGGAGTGCAGTGATGGAATCCTAGCTCACTGTAGCCTCAAACTCCTGGGCTCAAGGATTCCTCCCACCTCAGCCTTCTATAGGTGCATGCCAACATGCCTGGCTAATTTGCTTTGTTGTTGTTTTTTGTTTTTTTGTTTTTTGGTTTTTGAGAAGAGGGAGTCTCACTCTGTCCCTCATGCTGGAATGCAGTGGCGCAGTCTTGGCTCACTGCAGCCTCCGCCTCCCAGGTTCAAGTGATTCTCCGGCCTCCGACTCCCAAAGTGCTGGGATCACAGACAGCCACTGCGCCCATACTGTTTTGTTTTGTTTGTGAGACAGGGCCTTGCTGTGTTGCCCTGGCTGCTATTGAACTGATCTCAAGCAATTCTCCCGCCTTGGCCTTGGCCTCCCAAAATACTGGGGTTATGGGCATGAGCCACTACACCTGGCTTTTTTATTTTACTGCTTTCTTTCTTTTTTATCTCTGAGTTGATGTGCAGTTAGGAGGACAACGAGAATGACTTTATACAGTTAGGAAGTCATTCTTACCTTTCATTATTAAACTTGAAAAGAATCTTTAGAGAACTGTTTGCTTAAGGCTATTATACTATTAATTTAAATCACAGTTCAGGTGTGGTCTCATGTCCCTAATACCCTTTCAGGTTGTCTGTAAAGTTAAAACTTTTTACATAATAATACTAAGGGTTTGTTTTGTTTAACCTTCTCTGTTTCCAATCTGGGCCAGTTCACCCCTCCCTAGGCAACTTGGTGGTCCTCTACTCCCAGGAGGTTATTATATTGTCACTGAGCTTAGTTCTTACAGGCCAGAACTCTTAGAGTCAAGTGATCTTCCTACCTCCGCCTCCTGAGTAGCTGGAATTATGGGCATGCACTGTTGCAATGGGCATCAAATTATCTTCATTGTGGTGACTTTTAGACTGACAGACAGTTCAGAAACAGTGATGAGTCAGACTGCTGGCATCTTGGTTGAATTCATGCAGTAGCTTCATACTGTACCACTAGATAGTGAGTTCTTCACTGCCACACACTTGAAGTTTGCAAACAAATGTAAAAGGCAGGGCCAGGTGCAGTGGCTCATTCCTCTAATCCCAGTCCTTTGGGATGCCACAGTGGAAGATCACTTGAGATCAGGAGTTGGAGAGCAGCGCAGACAACATAAGAAGAGTATCTCTACAAAAAATAAATTCATTATGTGTAGTGGTGCGCGCCTGTAGTCCTAGTTACTCGGGAGTCTGTGTGGGAGGATTGCTTGAGCTTAGGAGTTCTAGGCCACAGTGAGCTACGATCATGCCACTGCACTGAAGCCTGGGTGACAGAGTGAGACCCTGTCTCTAAAAGAAAAATAAATACCACAGGTAGTGGCTCACGCCTGTAATCTCAATACTTGGGAGGCTGAGGCGGGAGGATTGCTTGAGCCCAGGAGTTTGAGACCAGCCTGGGCAACTTTTTGAGACCCCAACTGGAAAGAAAAAAAGAAAAAGAAATTAATTTAAAAAGCAGTTTTCTTTAATAATGTTCTCGATGAAGCAATAAAAATGACTGATTTCATTAAATCTCGACCTTTGAGTACATGGTTTGAAAATAATGTTTGAAATAGGATGTATGCATAAAGCACTTTGGGATACCTAAGTAATATGATTACCTTAAGGAAAACACCGTGATTGTTAGAGTCGTGAGCTGAGCTAGGCAGCTTTTTTTCATGGAGCATTGTTTTTACTTGAAAAATCACTGACAAACTATCAGTTTACATTTTGACAGTTGGAATTTTCTTGAAAATGTGAGTTTGTTAACTTCAATAAAACTGAGAGTGTTTGTTACCAGAGAGGTTTGGCTGGGTGTGGTGACTCACACCTGTCATCCCAACACTTTGGAAGACTGAGGTGGGAGGATTGCTTGTGCCTGGGAGTTCCAGACCAGCCTGGGCTATACAAGGATACCCCGTCTCTACAAAAAAATTAAGAAAAAAATTAGCCGGATGTGGTTGCACATGCCTGTAGTCCCAGCTGCTCAGGAAGCTGAGGGGTGAGGAGATGGCTTGAGCCTGGGAGGCCAAGGCTGTAATGAGCCATGATTACGCCATGCACTCCAGCCCACTGGTAACAGAGAGACCTTGTCTCAAAAAAAATGACAAAAACGTTAAAAAAGAGCTTTCAGGCAAAAAACAGATTTTTAGAAAATTTTTTGTACCCACCTTCGTGAGCTCGATACTTTCTCAATACTTGAAGGCTTCCTGATAAGATCGGTGGTGACATTAAACAGATGATTTTTAAAATACTGTGTAATGAAACCATTAATTTTTAAATGTTTACATTACTCAGTAAACAAGTATTTTTGAATAACCAATGCATGATACTACAAAATTGCATACAGATAAAAGATCCATTCAGACTGTGAGATGAATTGTATTACTTGCTTATTGCTGAGTTAAAAATTGTTCCAAAATTAAACTGCCTGAAAAAAAACAAACGTTTGTTATCTCAATTTCTTTGGGTTAGGAATGTAGGTATGGTCTTTGGTTGGGGCCTTCTACAAGGGTGTGGTCAGCACGTCAGCTGGGCTATCATTCATTTCAAAGCTGAAGTGGAGGAGGCTCTCCTAAGCTCTTTCACGTGGCTATTGCCTGGGGGCAGCCATTCTTACACAGAGCAAATGAGAGAGCCAGAGCAGGCATCCCAAGATGGAAGCTCCGTCTTGTAACATAATCTGGAAGTGAAATCCCATCAGGCCTGCCATATTCTGTTCAGTCCTACCTGTACTCAAGGTAGCCACACACAGGTTAGGAATACTGGGGACAGGGAAAACTGGGGGCTGCCTAGAGACTGCCTACCACATAGTACAGTGGGTTTTAATGCAGCAGTATGAAAAGCTCATGGATAAGATTTCAGATTCCACTTTGCAACTGTCCTCTAAGAAACTACCACTGGTTAGGTATTAGTGTACTATTCAAGGAGAATGTCCACAATTATCTAAGGCTTTAAAACACTCCTCCCTGCTGGGTATGGTGGCACAGGCATGTAGTCTCAGCTACTCTGGAGGCGGAGGCAGGAGTATGGCATGAGCTCCAGGAGTTCTTGGCTGTAGTGCCCTATGCTGATTGTATGTCTACACTAAGTTGGGAATCAATATGGTGACCTGTCAGCAGTGGAAGACCACCAGATGACCTGAGGAAGAGGAATCGGAGCAGTGCCGATCAGTAGTGGGATTGTGCCTGTGAATGGCCACTGCACTTCAGCCTGGGCAACATAGTGAGACCCCCATCTTATAAAACAAAAAGCCCACTCCTCCCTTTTACAACTGAGTGTCTGCATGAGGGTAAATTTTAATTTTCTTTCTATACTTGAACTAAAAGAATAGCAGCAGATCTAAAAGAACGCAGAAGCAGATCTGAAGATCCAGATGTCTTCTCTGAAGCAAATATGAACAGATACGTGGACATGTAAAACAGTGCCACTGTTCTCACTACAGTTTTTTCTCCACCTGTCCCTCCCCTATTCTGACTTTGAATTTCCTTCTGAATCTCCTTTAGCTCTTTATAGCTTAGTCTCTTTGGCTTCAATGACCAGCACTTCTGTTATGTGGGCAGTAGAGTGAGGACAGAGGACTGATGTTTGCTTGTGGTAGACAGCTTGGAAGAGCCAGGAGACCACATTAAAAAGGCAGGTAGGAGTAATGGTCCCAGGGCTGTGGTCTGAGGAGAGGTTTTTGCTTAGACATAGGGTAAACGGAGGGAAGACAAATGGGAAGAGAGTTACTAGCCCAAGGAGTAAAATGGGTTGGGTAGAAGGATGGTGGTAAGAGAACTAGTGAGTATATCCAGATCGGGTGCCTTGAAGAGAGGGGGAATTGGGAAGGGGATATGAAATAATGTAGAATATTGCCTAACCTGCCTTTGGCAGTTTAAAAGTAGAGGAAAATTACCTTTTATGTGCTACCTTTCTAAAATAATACACTTTCTTAGGCAGCTATTCTGTCTTATTCTAAGACATCCTCAGTTTCTTAATTATTATACTTAAAAAGTATCAGACATCTAGTTTTTTTAAAAATAGCAAGTTTTTTTTTTTAAGAGACAGGGTCTCAGTATGTTGCACAGCCTGGGCTGGAACTCCTTGGATCAAGCAGTCCTCTGACATCAGCCACCTGGGCAGCTGGGACTGTAGGCACACGTCACTGCACCAGGGCCAGTTAAAGTTTTGAGGCATCTTTGGCAGGTTATATTATTTCTGCTAGAAGCCATATACATTCGAAATAGGAGTTCTTCATCAAAAATAGTTCTAAGATTGAAAAGTGTGACATTCCTTGCTTTTTCTTGAATAGGAATGAAGGAATAGTAATAAAAATTTTTATTTTTATTAAAAATAGAATTCAGCCGGGCCTTGTGGCTCATGCCTGTAATCCCAGCACTTTGGGAGGCTGAGATGGGCGGATCACCTGAGGCTAGGAGTTTGAGACCAGCCTGGCCAACTTGGTGAAACCTCGTCTCTACCAAAAATACAAGAATTAGCTGGTGGGCGCCTGTAATCGCAGCTACTCGGGAGGCTGAGCCAGGAGAATCGCTTGAACTCAGGAGACAGAGGCTGCAGTGAGCCGAAATCGTGCCACCGAATTCCAGCCTCGACAGCAAGAGCAAAACCCTGTCTCAAAAAATAAAATGAGCCGGGCGCGGTGGCTCAAGCCTGTAATCCCAGCACTTTGGGAGGCCGAGGCGGGTGGATCACGAGGTCAAGAGATCGAGACCATCCTGGTCAACATGGTGAAACCCCGTCTCTACTAAAAATACAAAAAATTAGCTGGGCATGGTGGCGTGTGCCTGTAATCCCAGCTACTCAGGAGGCTGAGGCAGGAGAATTGCCTGAACCCAGGAGGCGGAGGTTGTGGTGAGCCGAGATTGCGCCATTGCACTCCAGCCTGGGGAAAGAAGAAAAATCCGTCTTCAAAAAAAAAAAAAAAAAAAGAAAGAAAATAAAATATAAAATTCAGGCCAGGCGTGGTGGCTCACACCTGTAATCCCAGCACTTTGGGAGCCTGAGCTGGGCTAGGCTGACCAATATGGTGAAACCCTGTCTCTACTAAAAGTACAAAAATTAACCAGGTATGGTGGCGTGTGCCTGTAATCCCAGCTACTTGGGAGGCTGAGACAGGAGAATTGCTTGAACTGAAGGTGGAGATGGCAGTAGACAGATCATACCACTGCACTCCAGCTCAAAGATATATATATATATATATAGTAATAATAAAATTCAGGCTGAGCATGGTGGCTCATGCCTATAATCCCAACACTTTGGGAGGCTGAGGTGGGAGGATTCCTTGAGCCCAGGAGTTTGAGACTAGCCTGGGCAATATAGTGACACCCCCATCTCTTTAAAAAAAAAAAAAAAAAAAAAAAAAAGCTGACTGTGGTGCTGTATACTTTGTAGTCCCAGCTACTTGGGAGGCTAAGGCAGGAGGATGGCTTGAGCCCAGGAGGATGGAGTCTGCGATGAGCCGTGATCACACCACTGCACTCCAGCCTAGGCAACAGAGTGAGACACACTGTCTCAAAAAATAAAAAAATAAATGTGAAAGTGTATTATCCCAGAGATTATAATGTGATTCTTTGACATAAATACTGACACATGCACATGGATGATATACAAATGAATATGTTTTAAACAAAAATGAAGTTTTTAACATGTTCTGCATTTTTTCGTTGCTTTGCTTTGCTTTTTACTTGATAGTTCTGGATATTAACAATTATCCTATGTAATCACAAACACAAGTTATTGGGAAAGATGTTTTGACATGGGATAGGGGGATTCTATATTCTCTGTCTAATCTTGATACTAATCATTATTTATTAACACAGTTATTCTGGTTATATGCTGGCCAGTCTTGCCATAAGCCAACTTAATAACTATTACCCATATTGAGGGAATTATGAACAGTCTTTATTTATGGTAATGTATGTAAATGATATAATTTGTTTAGATTGAAGAGCACATGGGAAGATAACATTTTGATTCTTGCATCCTAGACCTTATCTGTAAAATACTTAGACTGAGTAATAGACACTCTACAGGGGTAGTAGAACACCTTAAGTGAATCCGTTTACTTTTCTGTCATAAACCATTGTGTAACTGTGAAAAATTTTTTTCAAAATTAAAGATTTTTTTTGCCTGTTTATCGTTCTGCATGTGTGTCCAATCACTAAGAAATAGCCCTTAAGTCTTACGGTTTAGGACGTAGAGTTATGTATACAACAAGGCAGTCAGATCGCGAAGGCTAACCTGAATTGGGTATTAGCAGCGTGTGTGTGTGGTTTAGGACGTAGAGTTACTCCATACAACAGGGCAGTCAGATCCCGAAGGCTAACCTGAATTGGGTATTTGCAGTGTGTGTGTGTGGTTTAGGACGTAGAGTTACTCCATACAACAGGGCGGTCAGATCSCGAAGGCTAACCTGAATTGGGTATTTGCAGTGTGTGTGTGTGGTTTAGGACGTAGAGTTACTCTACACAACAGGGCGGTCAGATCCCGAAGGCTAACCTGAATTGGATATTTGCAGCGTGTGTGTGGCTTCATCTCTATGCGGCGCCATTGTCAAATAATTCTTCTTGGTATCATCAGTTGGATATTAGGATAGTAAACTTTTTTTTTTTTGAGACGGAGTTTAGGTCTTCTTTCCCAGGCTGGAGTGCAGTGGCGAGATCTTGGCTCACTACAACCTCCGTCTCCCAGATTCAAGTGATTCTCCTGCCTTAGCCTCCCAAGTAGCTGGAATTACAGGTGCGCACCACCACACCTGGCTAGTTTTTTTTTGTATTTTTAGTAGAGATGAGGTTTCACCGTGTTGGTTAGGCTGGTCTCAAACTCGACTTGCTGATTCACCGCCTCAGTCTCCCAAAATTCTGGGATTATAGGAGGCATGTAGGCAGGAGAGTAAAGTTTTTTTTGTTTTGTTTTGTTTTTTTCTTCTTGAGGTTGAATTTCATTCTTGTTGCCCAGCTTGGAGTGCAGTGGCACTATTTGGCTCACTGCAACTTCTGTCTCCCAGGTTCAAGCGATTCTCCTCTCTTAGCCTCCCAAGTAGCTGGAATTGTAGGCATATGCCACCCCGCCTGGCTAATTTTTTTTGTATTTAGTAGAGATGGGGTTCATCATGTTGGCTAGGTGGGTCTCAAACTCCTGGCCTCAGGTGATCTACCTGCCTCGACCTCCCAAAGTGCTGGGATTATAGGCATAAGCCACCATGCCCAGCCGATGGAAAGCTTTGATCAAGTCTCTTAACTGGGCCTTAATTTTGTCATTTGTTTATTTATTTATTTATTATTTTTTTTTTTGGGACGGAGTTTCGCACGTTACCCAGGCTGGAATGCAATGGCGTGATCTTGGCTCACCGCAACCTCCGCCTCCTGGGTTCAGGCAATTCTCCTGCCTCAGCTTCCCGAGTAGCTGGGATTACAGGCACGCGCCACCATGCCCAGCTAATGTTTTGTATTTTTAGTAGAGATGGGGTTTCACCGTGTTGACCAGGATGGTCTCGATCTCTTGACCTCATGACCCACCCGCCTCGGCCTCCCAAAGTGCTGGGATTACAGGCTTGAGCCACCGCGCCCGGCAATTTTGTCATTTGTTATACAAGATGCCTAGATGGAAGATGTTTGGGTTAATTATATATGAATGATTTCAAACTTTAAGCTTTTTTGTTTTTTGAGGGAAGGCATCTTTATGAATCTGAGTGTTTTAAAGCAAGAAATACTGTGCTCACTTAAGCAGCACGTATGCTAGCACTGGAACAGTACCAAGAAGACTGGCATGGCCCCTGTGCAAGGATGACATGCAATTTGTGAAGTGTTTAATATTTTTCATTAAAAAAAACACTTTTGGATAAGGACATTTTTAGAATTGTTTCAAAACTAATGTTAAAATAATTCTGTTTTTTCTTCCCTGAAGCCCCTAAGAGACGACGGCCTGCACGTTCAATTTTTGATGGTTTCCGGGATTTTCAGACTGAAACCAGTAGGTATCTGTGGGCCAGTTTGTTATCTCTCTCTTCCCTTCTCCTCTTATTAAAAAGAAAATGATGATTACTGTTAGGCCTAATTACTTGGAGGTTTCACCTTATTTAAAAAGTGAAATTATGGATCCAGAATGTGATTAATTCTTTCCTGAGCTGAATTGTTCCAAATGCTAACCTATTTGGTTATAGAAAAATAGTAAAGTAGATGCAGATAATGTAGGAAATCTGGTAATTGGTACACTTAATTAGCTTGTGAATAAACACTTACTGTAATAAACTGATTTCTCTTGGGATCCTGATTTCTGTCGATGAAAGGAATATATAATGAAAATGATTATTAAAAAAGATTGAAAAATGGAAGAAAAAGCCACACCACCCAAGGCAGCCACTATTAATATTTTAGTTATCCTTGTTGGAAATATTTTTGTGTAATAAGTTAGAATGAGAATGTTGGTCTTATACTTTTAGCGGATTTAGTACTGATGTAACAATGGAATCCTAAAGAAAGAACAGTTATGTTAAGAGGTTATGTGAGAAACCCTTGGACCATGCTTGATTTTGCAGTTTATTTATAGTGAGTTGATTGAGGCACAGATAGGTCTTGTGCCTTTGGAGAGAATTAATGGAGAAACTAAACAGACTCAAGTCATCTAGGGAATCCCGTTTCCTTCCAGTGGAAGGTGACGACAGTGGTCATCATCTCTACTGCCATAATCTTTATTATTATTATTATTTGTTTTTGAGATGGAGTCTCACCTTGTCACCCAGTCTGGAGTGCAGTGTCGCGATCTGGGCTCTCTGTAGGTTCCACCTCCCGGGCTCAAGCAGTTCTCCTGCCTCAGCCTCCTAAGTAGCTAGGATTGCTGGCGCCCGCAACATGCCCAACTAATTTTTGTATTTTTAGTAGAGACATGGTTTCACTGTGTTGCCCAGGCTGGTCTTGAACTCCTGACCTCAGGTGATCTGCACATCTCAGCCTCCCATAGTGCTGGGATTACAGTCATGAGCCACCGTGCCTGGCCCCGAATCTTTAAAGATTGAGAACGTAGCTGAAAACAGCAGATGAATTTACATTGCTTTCAGAACTAGATAAATGAGGATGAAAGTTTTCCCCTATGCTTTTTGTTTTGTTTGAGATGGAGTCTTACTCTCTTCCACAGGCTGGAGTGCAGTAGCGTGATCTCAGCTCACTGCAACCTCCACCTCTTGGGTTCAAATGATTCTCCTGGCCCAGCCTTCTGAGTAGCTGGGAGCACAGGCATGCATCACCATACTTGGCTAATTTTTTTTTGTATATTTAGTAGAAATGAGGTTTCACTATGTTGGCCAGGCTGGTGTCAAACTCCTGACTTCAGGTGATCCTCTCACCTGGGCCTCTCAAAGTGCTAGGATTACAGGTGTGAGCCACTGCACCCAGCCTGTCCCATGTTTAAGTTAGCTTTTGAATATGTGAAGTTGCTTTGATTATAGGACTATTTTCAGTTAATTTTCTTTGTATCCTTTGGATAGGGCATACCACCAAGTCTTAAGATTCCTCTTACTCCCCCTTGCATTTTTTTTTCAGAGTCAGCATTAGATCTTAATATTTGAGGTCAAGCACATTGTCAGCAATTTCTCCAATTGACAGAAGTTTTTGTTTTTTTAATGGGATTTATGATTTTTTTTTAATTGCTAACTGAAACTTTTTCATCCTTCTGTATTATAGTTCGGCAAGAACAAGAATTAAGAAATGGTGGAGCTATAGATAAGAAATTGACTACCCTTGCAGATCTATTCCGGCCACCCATTGATTTGATGCATAAAGGCAGCTTTGAAACAGTAAGTTATTGGAGATTCTGTGCTTTAGCTATGAATGCTTTTGCATTTTCAGTGCCTTTTTTAAAAAAAAGTTACTTGTTTTAGAGACAGGGTCTCGCTCTGTCGTGCAGGCTGGAGTGCAGTGGCACAGTCAGCTCACTGCAGCCTTGAACTCTTGGGTGCAAGGGATCCTCCCACCCCAGACTTTCAAGCAACTAGGGCTATGGACATGCACCACCACACTCAGCTAATATAAAAAATTTTTTTTGGTAGAGACAGGGTCTTATTATGTTGCTCACGCTGGTCTCAAATGCTTGGGCTCAAGCAATCCGCACACTTCAGCCTCCCAAAACGCTTGGATTACTGGTGTGAGCCACTGCACCTGGCCTTCAGTGACGTTTTTTATAAGAGCAGAAAACCATTTTCAGTGTATAGGGAATTGGCATCATAATAAGTATATCTACGTGATACGCGTAAAGGTTACACTGATTTATATTTTTTTCAGCAGTATATGAAATATGTTTCTACCAGCCGTGTAGGAGATTGTTGGATGAAATCCTTTTCTTAGCCTTGTGTGGTGTCATTTTGGGATCTTTGCTGTTTTGATAGCTTTTTAAAATATCTCACTTGTTCCTGTATCTTTGGCTGCTACTGAGACTAATGTGTGTGGTTTGCCATTTGTGAATCGTTTACAGGTACTTTGGCCTGTATTTCTGTGCGGATCCTAGTATGTTTGAAAAGAATATCTCTAATTGGAGAACACATTCATCCTCAGTTCTTCTTGGTTTTGTCATGACTAAGCCCAAGGAGAAACTTTCCAGTGTATGTTTACTTGGTTGTCTGCTAACTTTCAGACTTACTGAGGGCAGAGGGTAGATACTTCCTTTTAATAATCTTTGGGACCCAGTCTCAGGCATTAAGAGAAATACATTATGTGTTAAATGATGGAGTTTAGTAAAGCTTATACTCTTCTGTTGAGGTGTTTAAACAGCTTGCTTTTTTGTGGTGACTAGGATGTTAATGCTCTTTTGAATCACAGTAGCATTTTCATAGATGTAAATTACTTAAATTTTAGTTGTCTCTTTTTTTTTTTTTTTTGAGACAGAGGTTCACTCTTGTTGCCCAGGCTAGAATTTAGCAGTGTGATCATGGCTCACTGCAACTTCCGCCTCCCAGGTTCAAATGATTCTCCTGCCTCAGCCCCCTGAGTAGCTGGGACTACAGGCATGTACCACCACGCTCGGCTAATTTTGTATTTTTAGTGGAGACAGGGTTTCTCCATGTTGGTCATGCCGGTCTCGAACTCCCAACCTCAGGTGATCCGCCCACCTTGGCATCCCAAAGTGCTGGGAGTATAGGTGTGAGCCATTGTGCCTGTCCCCCTCACTTTTTTTTTTTTTTTTTTTGAGACTGGTTCTCATTCTGTCACCTGGGATGGAGTACAGTGGCAGAATCATGGCTCACTATAGCCTCCAACTCATGGTCTCAATTTATCCCCTGGTCTCAACCTCCCAAATACCTAGGGCTACAGACACCCACCACCTCACCAGGCCAATTTAAAAAATATTTTGTGGAGAAGGGGGTCTTGCTATGTTGCCCAGGCTGGTCTTGAATTTCTAGTGTCAAGTGATCCTCCCGCCTTGGCTCCCAAAGTGCTAGGATTACAGGCATGAGCTGAGACCCCATTTCTTAAAATAAACAAGCAATGTATATCAGCTGCATATTTGAACATGTTATGATAATTACATATATGTATATGTATATGTATAAAATTTTTTGAGACAGAGTCTTGCTCTGTTGTCAGGAGCCAGGCTGGAGTGCAGTGGTGCAGTCTCGGCTCACTGCATCTCCCGCCTCCAGGTTCAAATGATTCTCCTGCCTCAGCCTCCTGAGTAGCTGGGACTACACGGGCATGCCACCATGCCCAGCTAATTTTTGTACTTTTTAGTAGAGACAGGGTTTCACCATGTTGGCCAGGATAAGCTCAATCTCTTGACCTTGTGATCCGCCCGCTTCGGATGATAATATTTTTTTAAAATTTGTCCTTTGATTTACATTTACACTGTCGTACGTGAAATATTTAGGAGAAGGAATTTCCTTGTAAGCTTGTGTGTTAGTTCACTTGCTTTGCCAGAAAGGAATCCCTGAGACTGGGCAGTTTATAAAGAAAGAGATGTTATTTCAATTCACGTTTCTACAAGCTATAGAATGTCTGCACCATAGCATGGTGCTGACATCTGGTTCTGTTGAAGCCCCAGGAAGCTTGCAGTCATGGCAGAAGGCAAAGGGGGAACTGTTATAGCACATGAGAGGAGCAAGCGGTCAAGCCATTCACGAGGGGTCTGCCCCCATGACCCAAACACCACCTACTAAGCCCCACCCTCAGCGCTGGGAATTATATTTCACTATGAGATTTGGAGGGACAAATGTCCAGACCACATCAGCTTGCTCTCCAGTTTCAATTTTCTGAATCTGAAAACCTGGAAAGTGGTTTGGCTGCGTGTAACAAAAAACTCAGATGATGATGATGATGATTTGACCAAATCATCAGGGCTTTATTTTTGTCAGTAATAAGCCTAGAGGTGAAGAAATTATTGGTGTTCATTCATAAGCTCAAAGATGTCAGGTTGGATGTCTCTTCAGTTTTCTTCATCTTTGCCTTGTGGTTTCGACATGGTAGCGCCTGTCCTTTCTAGTATATTCTGGTGATACTACAGCCCCTGAGAGAGAATAACAGCAATATGAAAGGCAGAAAAGGATCTGAGTTTGTTTCGGCATGTTTTCTGTTTTTATTAGCTTCTGAGTTGCTCTTGGACCTAATGCAGTATCTAAGCTTGATTTAATTTGGTAACTTTGAACTGAAAAAGCAGTTACTCTTCTGTCTGCCCATTAAGGGAAAATATGAATCTCTTTTGATGTTGTCCCTTGAATTTTAAGTTATATCACCTTTTTTGCCTTGTATTTCACGGCCTATGTGTACATGAAATAAACATTCCCTTCTAAAAGCAGGCATTTCATTATGGTTAACGATACATGTATTAAGTTTATAAAAATTAGGAAGATAACATGCAAAATTAAGTCATTGAAGTTTAGAGAGGTAAATATTAAAAATTAGAGGGATACTCTTTGGTGACCCAAGGAGGTCCCATAGGTTTGTTCCTCATAGTGGTTGTAAATGTGAGCCACAGTTTTACAGGTTTAGAAACTAGTGTAACTAGAGGTAGATCATGTTCAGGGATTCTTTCTGGTTCATGCTAACCAGATGAGAGAGACTGATTAATTCACTTGTTCACTTAATACATATTTATTGAGGCCTTGTGTTGCAGGACTTAGTTCTGGGTGTTCAAGAATAAAGGTTTGACTGCATGTGAGAGAGACCAGGGGAAAAGGAAACAGTAGCTTAAGCAAGAAAGAAGTCCAGGCTGTTGGGATGACTTGCTCTGCAAGTTTAAGAGTTGCAGAGTTTCTCTGTCTTGTTCTGCCGTCCCTAGGTCTTGCTCGCCCTTGTCTGCATGATTCAAGTTGGCTTGCCACCATGTTTGCTTACCAGACCCCATGGAAGGCTGCTCTGCCTATGGAGTAGCCATACTTTATTCCTTTACTTTCTTTTTTTTTTTTTTTTTTTTTACTGTTGTCTTTCAAGGATGTCCTTGAATCCTTTACTTTCTTAATAAACTTGCTTTCATTTAAAAAAAAAAAAAAAAATGACCAGCATGGAAGAGGGAAGAGCTGATAGGGGTACATATTTCCCTTTAAAGGAGCAACCTGGAAGTTGTACACAGCACTTCTGTTGCATGCCATCTGTGGTAACTTGGCAGCATGGCTGCACCCATTTGCAAGGGACACTCGGAAATCCAGATGCCTAGTTAAAAATTGGAGGTTCTATAAGAGAGTGACAAGGGGAGAATGGGTTATTTGGTACCTATAAGCAGCTTCTGCCACAGGGTGATAGTGGTAAATTATATAAAGTCCTTGCCATTGTAGCGTTTATAATCTACTAGGAGAAACAGACTATAAACAACGTAAAACACACACACACACACACACACACACACACACACACACACACACACACAGATGGTGAATATAATACATATGTTTCTCTTTGATGGAGAGAGAGAGACATTCATTTTAGGTTATAGTAGTTGCTTGCAGAAAGGATAAAATATGCCTGGACGTAGTGGCTCATGCCTGTAATCCCACCACTTTGGCGGGAAGCTGAAGGGAGTAGATCACTTGAGTGCAGGAATTCAAGACCAGCCTGGGCAATATGGTGGAACCCAGTATCTACAAAAAATAGAAAAAATTAGATGGACATGGTGGTACACACCTGTGGTCCCAGCTACTCAGGAGGCTGAGGTGGGAGGACTGCCTGAGCCCAGGAGGTTGAGGGTGCAGTTTGTGGTGGTGCCACTGCCCTCCACCCTGAGCAACACCGTGAAACCCTGCCTCAAAAACAAAAGAAAAAAAAATACAATAAGGGAAGGAGAGAGGGGCCGTTTTTTGTTTGTTCAAGGCCATTTTATGTGTGTGGTCTGAATTTAGTTAAGCATCTGGAAATTTCTAGTGTCCTTTGCAAGTAGATGTGTCCATGTTGCCAAATTCAGTTTCTTCTTACAGGCGAATTGAAAGCAAGTTTGATTTCAGAGGTTCCACATGTGTTTGTAATTGTGAGGACAAAGGACTGTACTAGGAAGATTAGGGGAGATTTCTGCAAGGATGAGATAAGAATAGAAACCTTGGTGAAGCAAGGGAATGCTACCTAATGGGAGGTCTGAGGGAAAAGCAGATAATACAGTGTGAACATACTGATGTTGGAAAGAGCTGACACAGTCAAGAAAACCAGCTGAGTGAGCAAAGCACTTAGGCTAAACGGTCTGACCTGGGCATGGGAACATTTCTTAGGTTTTCTTCTTTCCCCACTATCCTGTAGGCTGTATGAACACAGGGACTTTGTTTTATTTACTACTGTGTGTCCATAGGGTCTAAAACACTTTGATTTGCCTCGTTAAATCATGATTATGTCAGAAAGAATATTGTGCAGAAAGAATCAGAACAGTTTCCATAGTATTTCTTTTTCTTTTTTCTTTTTTTTGAGACGAAGTTTTGCTCTCTTTGCCCAGGCTACAGTGCAATGGGCTGGCGCAATCTCAGCTCACTGCAACCTTTGCCTCCTGGGTTCAAGCAATTCTCCTGCCTTAACCTCCCAAGTAGCTGGGATTACAAACACCCACCACCATGCCTAACTAATTTTTTATATTTTTAGTAGAGATGGGGTTTCTCCACGTTGGCCAGCCTGGTCTTGAACTCCTGACCTCAGGTGATCCGCCCACCTCAGCCTCCCAAAGTGATGGGAATATAGGCATGAGCTACTGCACCTGGCATTTTCTTTTTTATTTGAGACAGGGTCTCACTCTGTCATCCAGGCTGGAATACCGTGGTACAACTCAGCTCACCGCAGCCTCGTCTTCCTGGGCTCAAGTGATTCATCTACCTCAGCCCCTCAAGTAGGTGGGACTACAGGTGCCTGCCACCATGCTTGACTAATTTTTGTATTTTTTGTAGAGGTGGGGTTTTGCCACATTGTCCAGCCTAGAGACAGGGTTTTTCCATGTTGGTCAGGCTGGTGTTGAGCTCCTGACCTCAGGTGCTCTGCCTGCCTCGGCCTCCCAAAGTGCTGGGATTACAGGCGTGAGCCACCGAGCCCGACCAACATGCAAATTATTGAAAATTAGAAAATGAATAAGGAAAAATAAAAGTGTGATTTCATTTCTATAAAAAGTATTGTATATATTTTAATATATTTTCTTTTAACTTTATGCATATATATTTACTGAAACGTAGTAAGTTTGTTCAAATCTTTCATTTTCTTTTTTTTGAAGCAGTCTTGTTACCTAGGCTGGAGTGCAGTGGCATGATCCCAGCTCACTGCAGCCTCCACCTCCCAGGTTCAAGTGATTCTCGTGCCTCAGCTACCCAGGTAGATGGGGTTATGGGCATGCGCCACCATGCTTACCTAATTTTAGTAGTTCTAGTAGAGATGGGGTTTTGCCATGTTGTCCAGGCTGGTCTCAAACTCCTGGGCTCAAACAGTCAGCCCACCTTGGCCTCCCAGAATGCTGGGATTACAGGTGTGAGCCACCATGTCAGGCCTAAATTTTTTTTTTTTCATGCCTTTCTGATCTGGCTGGTACTGGCAGAGATTTTAGTCTCCCACTGTTTTACTCTGGAGTCTCCATTATAATGGTTTTGAAATGTTGATTCAGAATAACCTAAGAGATTTCAATATTCTTCCATAGGAAGATGATTTTTCTCGTGGCCCACTCTCACCCCCAGTCCTTGACTCACATAATTGGTACACTCAGTGACATTTTTTAAGACCTTCTCTTTTTAAATTGCATACATTTAGCTATTTTACATTTTTTTACAGATGGGGTCTTGCCGTGTTGACCCAGGCTGTTCTCCAACTCCTGGCCTTACAGCTCCAGCCTACTGTACATATTTAAGATGTATAACATGAAGATTGGATACACATAGTAAAATGATTACTATAGTCAAGCAAATTAACTTGTCCTTACCTTCCATAGTTGTCTTTTTATATCTGTGTGTGGAGGGGGTAAGAGCACCTAGTAATCTACTCTCAGCACATTTTCAATGTGTAATACAATATTATTAAGTACAGTCCTCATGTTGTACATGAGATCTCTAGACTTGCAAGACTTTTTTTTATTTTTTCTGAGGCAGAGTCTTACTCTGTTGCCCAGGCTAGAGTACAAATGGCATGATCTTGGCTCACTGCAATCTCTGCTGCCCAGCTTCAAACATTTCTCCTGCCTCAACCTCCTGAGTAGCTGGGATTATAGGTGCCCACCACCATGCCCAGCTAATTTTCGTATTTTTAATAGAGACAGGATTTCACCATGTTGGGAAGGCTGGTCTTGAACTCCTGACCTCAGGTGATCCACCCACCTCAGCCTCCTAAAGTGCTGGGATTACAGGTGTGAGCCACTGTGCCTGGTCTGTTCAGCACTCTTATTCCCTCTCAGTATTGTTGTTTTGTTTCAGAATTGTGTCTTTGGACCCTTCCTTCTAGCAGTAACAATTTTTTAACAATACGTTCAGTGTGGTTAGTATCACTTCCAAGTTTCTTTTGCTAGTATTAGGTTTCTCCCCATTGTAAGCTGCATGAAGGCAGGGATTTTTACCTTTTGGAACTGCTGTAACTTCAGCATCTGTAACTGTACCTGACACATGGTAGGTACTCAGTATTTGTTGAATGAATAAATCTGAGATAATGAAAGCATGAATGTGAGTAAACACATTTTTAAAAGAAAAAAAGTAACTCTTCCATTTTAAACTCTGGACTTTTATTCATTGTCAGTTTTGTACACTTTTTTCTTGTCAGTATTGGGGCGGACTTATGTAAATTTACTCTGTTAAACAGACATGTGCTCTCCAGCCTGTCTCTAGAGTGTATGGTCATTTTTCCTTTATTTTCAAATACTGTTTCTGTAGTTACAGCAGCGTAATTATCATTCTTTTATTAAATCTTTGTCCTATAAGGAAGTAAATGGAAATATTACTTCCTATAAACAAGGAATTATTAATTTGTATACTTTAAGCCTTTGACCAGTTAAATGCAGCTTCCTGACCCAATATAATGATATTTCTTTTTAGACCTTGGGCTTTCACCCATGGAAACAGTAAGCAAATATTAGAAGATAATTTATTCTGAGTTTGAGTGGGGTGACTGACACCTGTGATCCCAGGACTTTGGGAGGCCAGGGCAGGAGGAGGATCACTTGAGGCGAGGTGTTCCAAACCAACCTGGCGAACATAGTGAAACCCCCGTCTCTGCAAAAAATGTAAGAAAACAGCGAAAAAAGAAAACTTATTCTGAGGGATTCATACAAAAAAAAAGAAAAACCCACAGTATTTGTGAGATTATGTAAACCTTAAAACAGAAGATATTTTCAGTCTTACATGTTTCAGTACCCACAAAATGATGTCCAGTATGTTCTTGGATTACTACACCAAATTCATTGCTTCTTAAGATTTTCGTATGTCACACTGATTTGGAAAAGAATATCGTTCCAGGATAAATTTATTCCAAAACTCCCCTCGTCACTGTTCCTTCCTAGGCAAGGATTTGAGGCAACATTTGCTCACGTGCTTCTCTGCCACTGCTTTCCACTTAGCAGCATTTCCTAGGTCTCGATGCTGACAAGGGACTGACAGGCAAAAAGTACACGCTAATGATTGACATATTGATATTTGTGGTATGAATTGTAGAGTTGTTTGGGTATCATTCTCAAAGATTCTTTGACCCTATAATCCCAATTTTTGAAATCTCGTAGGAAAACAACTATTAAGTGAAAAAACTCTCAGCAGTTTTTACTAAAATGTTTAAGGTGATTCTCTAAAATAGCATATACGCCTAATAATTGAGATTTTATGTTTGAAAATGTTCCAGAAATGATCTTGAAGAAAACAAAGCGAAATATACATACCAATTACATTCATTAAAAAGAAGTGTATTTGGCTGAGTGCAGTGGCTCACACCTGTAATGCCAGCATTTTGGGAGGTTGAGATGGGTGGCTCACCTGAGGTCTGGAGTTCGAGACTGGCCTGGCCAACATGGTGAAACCTTATCTCTGTATAAAAGAATACAAAAAATTGGCCTGACGTGGTGGCGCATGCCAGTAATCCCAGTTACTCTGGAGGCTAAGGCAGGAGAACCACCTAGTAGGTGGAGGTTGCAGTGAGCTGAAATTGCACTATTGTGCTCCAGCCTGGGCAACAAGAGCAAAACTCCTTCTCAAAAAAAAAAAAGCTATTTGTTGATGGAGGTGGCAAGAGAATAGAGTTATGTGACTTGTTGATCTTAAGTTTGTTGAATCCTTTTCAGGTACAGATGTTTAAACATACATTAAAAATTTAGCCATTACTGGGTGTGGTGGGTCACACCTGTAATTCCAGCACTTAGGTGGATGGGTCACTTGAGGTCAAGGGTTTGAGGCCAGCCTAGCCAACATGTTGATATCCCATCTCTACTAAAAATAGAAAAATCAGCCAGGTATGGTAGTGTGTAGTAATCCCAAATACTTGGCAGGTTGAGGCGGGAGAATCACTTGAACTCAGGAGGTGGAGGTTGCACTGAGCCAAGACCACACCACTGTACTCCAGCCTGGGCAACAGAGTGAGACTGTCTCAGAAAAGAAAAGAAAAATTAAGCCATTATAACAAATAACTGCATAAAAGAGAAATGAGTTTATTTAAATTTGAGAAGTGCTTGAAATGAACAGTATAGTTATACATGCATATTCAAAGTAAATAAAAAGAATGTATATGTACTGAAAACTCTAGATGTCATATTTGGGCAAAAATCTAGTATTTTTAGTGAAAGACAATAGTCTTTGAACAACTACGGAAACATCGGTCACCAAGTAGAAATTGTTTCTAACAAATGTGTAACTTTACTCTTGCAGGCCAAAGAGTGTGGCCAGATGCAGAATAAGTGGCTGATGATAAACATTCAAAACGTACAAGACTTTGCATGTCAGTGCCTCAACCGTGATGTGTGGAGCAATGAAGCTGTGAAGAATATTATCCGGGAACATTTCATTTTCTGGCAGGTGAGAAGGAGGGTTCATCAGAAGTTTTGTAGAATTTTACTTTTGTAGTGTGGGATGTTGAGGGAAAGGAATTGAGTTATAATGAATTAAGACATTTTAAAAAAAGGTAAAACTGGCCGGGCGCGGTGGCTCAAGCCTGTAATCCCAGCACTTTGGGAGGCCAAGGCGGGTGGATCACGAGGTCAAGAGATCGAGACCATCCTGGTCAACATGGTGAAACCCCGTCTCTACTAAAAATACAAAAAATTAGCTGGGCATGGTGGCACGTGCCTGTAATCCCAGCGACTCAGGAGGCTGAGGCAGGAGAATTGCCTGAACCCAGGAGGCGGAGGTTGCGGTGAGCCGAGATCACGCCATTGCACTCCAGCCTGGGTAACAAGAGCGAGACTCCGTCTCAAAAAAAAAAAAAAAAAAAAAAAAGTAAAACTGGCTGGGAGGCGGTAGCTCACGCCTATTATCCCAGCACTTTGGGAGGCCGAGGTGGGTGGATCACCTGAGGTCAGGAGTTTGAGACCAGCCTGGCCAACATGGTGAAACCACGTTTCTACTAAAAATACAAAAAATTAGCCTGGTGTGGTGGCAGGAGCCTGCAGTCTCAGCTACTCGGGAGGCTGAGGCAGGAGAGTTGCTTGAACCAGGATAGTGGAGGTTGTAGTGAGCCAAGATTGCGCCATTGTACTCTAGCCTGGGTGACAGAATGAGACTCTGTCTCAAAACAAAAAACAAAAAAACTGTACTGTTCAGTAGAAATACAGTGTAAGTTGTACACATAATTTAAATTTTTCTAGTAGCCACATTAAAAAAGATTAATCAAAACAGGCGAAATTAATTATATATTTGGTTAAATCAATATATCTATATAACTAATACAAAAATGAGATTTTTGCTTTTATTTTCTTTGGTGTTAAGTCTTTGAGATACAGTTTGTATTTTATACTTACATCCCTTCTGCATTTGGAGTAGCCAGATTTCAAGTGCTTCAGTAGCCACTTCTGGGTGGTGGTTGCTGTATTGGACAGTGCAGATATAGAAGATCTTGGAGTAATTGAAAGCATTTGGCTAAGACTTAGATTTAAGCTTGTGTTTGATACTTTTTAACTGTATGTTCTTAGATAGGCCACTTTAGTCTTCCCAGCTAATGAGACAAGGTTAGAGACCTTGTACCATTTTTCTCCCACTGTGAGACAGGGTTTTGCTCTGTCAGCCAGGCTGCAATGCAGTGGCAAGAACATGGCTCATTCTTGACCTCCTGGGCTCAAGTGATCCTCCCATCTCAGTTTCTTGGGTGGTTGGGACCACAGACATGCACCACCATGACCAGATAATTTTTTTTATTTTTCATAGAGATGGGGTCTTGCCATAGTTGCCCAGGCTCGTCTTGAACTCAGGGGCCCAAGCCACTCTGGGCTTCCCAGAGTTCTGGGATTACAGGCATGAATCACCATGCCCAGCTCAATTTTTTCTTTTGTGAAAAGTTACAGAAAATGAAAACTTGAATGAACTTAATTTTTTCCCCTACTATAAGATATGCTATTAATGTTATTAATTTGCCTGTTTATATTTTACAGCCCCCTAAATTTAATGTAATTTTAATGATAAGTCCTTGTATTTTATTCAACAAATATTGATTGCCACAGCTCTTTGCTTAGCACTGTGCTAGACCCTTGAGCTTATATGCCCAGCTAATTTTTGTATTTTTAGTAGAGATGGGGTTTCACCATGTTGACCAGGATGGTCTCGATCTCTTGACCTGGTGATCCGCCCACCTCGGCCTCCCAAAGTGCTTTCTTTCTAAATAAATAGACAGGATCTTGCTCTGTCACCCAGGCCAGAATGCAGTGGTGCAATCATAGCTCACTGCAGCCTCTTAACTCCTAGGCTCAAGGGATCTTCCCACCTCAGTCTCCTGAGTTGTTAGGACTACAGGTGCACACCATTACACCTGGCTAATTAAAAATACAAAACAAAACAAAACAACTTCTTGTAGAGATAGGATCTTACTATGTTGACCAGGCTGGTCTCAAACTTCTGGCCTCAAGCTGTCCTCTGCCTCAGCCTCCCAAAGTGCTAGGGTTATAGATGTAAGCCATCATTCAGAGCCAGAATCTTAATATATTGTGATTTATTAAGATGTATATGGTTGAGAGTTATTAATGATAAAGGTTGACAGATAACTTGAGCAGGAAGAAGAATACTTCATCTGAACTGGGGAAAAAAGAGGAATGGATCGATATGTTTATGGTGTTTCCAGAAGGGGCTGAAAGCAGGAAGTTGAAGGAGTTCCCACCAGATGACGTTCATTATCTCTTTAGTTTAGGAGTAAGATCTTAACATATATACCAGAGGCATATTTGGAGAGCTAATTGATGTTAGTATATAACAAGGTTACAGTTGGTTTTTTCTTAGAGGCTGACTTTTTTTTTTTTTAATGTATCAATGATTTTACAGGTTTATCATGACAGTGAGGAAGGTCAGAGATACATACAGTTTTATAAGTTAGGGGATTTCCCCTATGTTTCCATATTGGACCCACGAACAGGTAAGATTTATATCAGCATGCAGCTTTTAACCTACCACTTGTCTTTCAGTTACCTAAATGATTGATCTTTAATATTTGACTGGATCTGGCTTCAGAATTGTAGTAATTTAGGTGAAGTTTTCCTGATTTAAACATCTGTTGATGTATTTATTTAGGACATTTTTTTCTGGCAGCATTGGAAAATGGTAGTGTTTTGTGCTTGTGTGTTTCTGCTCTTTTGAAGAATAACTGATACGTTCATCTTACCGTTTTTAAGGGATTTCCACCCCCCCAACCCCCCGGAGACGGAGTCTTGCTCTGTCATCCAGGCTGGAGTGCAATGGCATGATCTCGGCTCACTGCAACCTCCACCTTCCAGGTTCAAGCAATTCTCCTGCCTCGGCCTCCTGAGTAGCTAGTATTACAGGCGTCTGCCACCATGCTCAGCTAATTTTTTGTACTTTTAGTAGAGACGGGGTTTCACCATGTTTCCCAGGCTGGTCTTGAACTTCTGACCTTGTGATCCATAGCCTCGGCCTTCCAAAGTGCTGGAATTACAGGTGTGAGCCACCACGCCAGGCCTTAAGGGATTTTTTTTTAACGTTTTTTAAATCATTGAAATAGTAAGATTGTTCAGGTACTAGTTGTGATCCCTCCTGAGGAGCAGAGGGTGGAGCTGGTTTTATTAATTGATTGTGTTTTATATAGATACTGCTTTTTCTGAATCTCTTCTTCCTAAATGGCAGAAAGTGATAGCAGCATGTAAGATAGTTGCCCTATCATGATGAGTGGGAATCTATTAGGTGAGTATAATTGATGCGACTTCTAGGTTATGAAGACACTATAGCATAAGCTGGTGGAGAGGGTTTGTCTTTATAGTATAATTATGCATATGCTGAAAGAGATACTTAATGAGAGTGTTCAGAAAGATTGTAGATATTTACATATCCTTGTTTTTAATCTTTAGGTCAGAAGCTAGTAGAATGGCACCAGTTAGATGTATCTTCTTTCTTGGACCAAGTGACAGGATTTCTGGGTGAACATGGACAACTGGATGGACTTTCTAGTAGTCCCCCCAAAAAATGTGCCCGTTCAGTAAGTATAATTAGGAGGTGGTGATGGGAAAATAAATGTAATTTGTCATAAGCATCTTATATAAAATGTTTGATGTTAACATGGTAAAGATAATGTAACTAGTGGATAGCTGTCACTTATGGCTGTAACATCTTAGATATCTTCCTTTTTTTTTTTTTTGAGACTGAGTTTCGCTCTTGTTACCCAGGCTGGAGTGCAATGGCGCGATCTCGGCTCACTGCAACCTCCGCCTCCTGGGTTCAGGCAATTCTCCTGCCTCAGCCTCCTGAGTAGCTGGGATTATAGGCATGCACTACGATGCCCAGCTAATTTTTTGTATTTTTAGTAGAGATGAGGTTTCATCATGTTGACCGGGATGGTCTCGATCTCTTGACCTCGTGATCCACCCGCCTCGGCTTCCCAAAGTGCTGGGATTACATGCGTGAGCCACCGCGCCCGGCCCGATATCTTCCTTATATTTTGATAATTTCCCATATGAGAGTTCCACCTTCTCAGTGAAAAATCGTGATACTCACACTCCTCCCGGTCTGTCTTGCAGCTAGAGTGCAGACAAATGCCTTATGATCTGGATTTAGCAGGAAGCAATGTGAATATGTTGAGCAGGAGGACTGATATGGCAAGCCTAGTGGTCAAGGTGCCTGCTTCCTTAGGGACAGCTCTGGGAGGGCTTCTGATATCCAGGTCTAAATAGCAGTGAAAGTGGCAGATGTTTTGTTCGTTTTGTTTTGTTTTGGAGATGGGGTCTTGCGATTTTGCCCAGGCTGTCCTAGAACTCCTGGGCTGAAGCAGTCCTCTCACCCCAACTGCCAGAGTAGCTAGGACTACAGGCACATGCCACCACAGCCAGCTAGAGGTAGTGGTTTTTGTTTTTGCTAGAACAACTCTCATGGCATAGTTGAGCATTGTTATTGGTGAATGCAGCTTTAGGGCCTGGCTCTCTGGCCCTCCTAGAATTTATTTCTATACTTAATTTGTAGAATGTGCTATTACTAGGCAGACCTGTTTGAGAATTAGTATCAAGATTAGTTGCAAATAAGAGACTAAACTCCAAAGATAACAGCAGTCTCACATTGGTTTTCATGGTTATTTGGGCTTGACAGCAGTAAGGATAAAAATAGTTTGGTTTTGTTGTTTTTTCGTTTTGAGCTGGAGTCTCGTTCTGTTGCCAAGGCTAGGGGACAGTGGTACAATCTCTGCTCACTGCAACCTCTGCCTCCCGGATTCAAGCAACTCTCTCGCCTCAGCCTCTTAAGTAGCTGGGATTACAGGCATGTGCCACCACGCCCAGCTAATTTTTGTATTTTTAGTAGAGACAAGGTTTCACCATGTTGGGCAGAATGGCCTTGAACTCCCGACCTCAGGTGATCCGCCCTCCTGGGCCTCCTAAAGTGCTGAGATTACAGGCGTGAGCCACCACGCCCGGCCTGTTTTTCCTTAGACAGGATCTTGTTCCATTGCTCAGGCCACAGTGCAGTGGTATGATCATGGCTCACTACAGCCTTCACCTCTTGGGCTCAAGCTGTCCTTCCACCTCCGCCTCCTGTGTAGCTGGGACCACAGGCGTGAATCACCATGCCCAGCTAAGTTTTTAAATTTTTGTAGACAGAGATCTCCATATGTTGTCCACACTGGTCTCAAACTGGCCTCAAGCAATCCTCCTTTCTGAGCCTCCCAAAGTGTTGAGATTCTGGGCATGAGCACCACACCCGGTAAAATTTTGATTTAATTTAATTTAATTTTATTTTATTTTATTTTTTGAGACCTGGTTTCACACTCTAGCCCAGGCGGGACTGCAGTGGCCTGATATTAACTCACTCTAGTCCTTGCAGCCTTGAGAGAACATTAAAAGGAAAACAAGAAACTTGTTAGCCCTGACCTTCTGGGCTTAGTCGATCTTCTTGCTTCAGCCTCCTGAGTAGCTAGGACTGCAGGTGTACATCATCAGGCCTAGCTAATTTTTTTTATTTTTTGTGGAGACAGGGTCTTGCTATGTTGCTGTCTGGTCTCAAACTCCTAAGCTCAAGCAATTCTCTCGCCTTGGCCTCCCAAAGTGTGGGACTCTAAGCATGAAACACCTTGCCCAGCCTAAAAACAGTTTTAGAAGATAGGAACAGCCCCTTATTTAAGGAAAAGCCCTAAGGGATACTACGGAAATCTTGCTGGCCAGGATGATCTTGAACTGGCCTCAAGCAGTTCTCCTGCTTGATTTGTAGGTTTTTTAGTGCCCCTCCCCCCACTTTTTTAAAATTAATTTTTCTTACGCCTTATCGTGTTGTTTTCTGCTTTTGCTATCAGATTAATGCTGACTTCACAATGAATTGAGAAGTATTTCTTCCTCTTCTGTTTTCTGCAGTAGTTTCTGTAGAATTCTTACCATTTCTTCCTTAATGTTTGATGACATTTACCAGTGAAGCTACATGGGCCTAGAGTTTTTTTTGGTGGCAAGTTTTAAACTATAAAATCAGTCATATTGGTAGATATATGACTACTTGGTTATCTCTTTCTTCTTGGATAAGCTTTAGCAGGTTGTATCTTTCTAGGGATTTATTCATTTTACTATATTGACAGAGTCCCTCATTATGCCATTAATGACTGTAGAAACTGTACTTGCCCCTCACTTGATGCTGTTATTAGTAATTGTGACTTACCTTTTTTTCCCCTGACAGTCTGGCTAGAGGCTTAGTAGTTTTATTGATCTTAAAAAACCATCTGGGCTGTGGCCTGTGCCTGTAGTCCCAGCTGCTGGGCAGGAGTATCGCTTGAGCCCAGGAGTTCAGGAATGTAGTGTGCTGTGATCGTGCCTGTGAGTAGTCACTGCACTCCAGTCTTTGGGCAACAGTGAGACTCTGTCTCTTTAAAAAAAAAAAAAAAAGAAAAGAAAAGAAACCTACTTTTGGATTTTGGTTTTTTTTTTTTTTTTTTTCTCTGTGGCATTTGTTTTCCAGGTCATTTATTAATTTATGTTTTCTTTGTACTTAATTTTATTTTCTTTTCCTGGATGTATACTCTTTTTAAGGTGGGGAAGCTTAAGTCATTAATTTGATACCTTTCTCTCCTATAATATATGTATTTAGTTCTATAATTTTGGGGTAAGTACTGCTATGGCTCAATAGTTTTTTCTGGCTACAAGAGAAATTAGTAAGATGAGTTTTTTAGTTGAACATGTCCTCTAAACTTACTTAGGGTTCTATAAGTAAGGAAATCAGAGGAGAAAGAAATTCAGTAGGAGCCTGACAGTGCACCATGGCCACAATTTAAAAAATCAAGCTACATGGCTACATGCTATTTTACAATGTCGTTGTTGTAAATTTACTATCCACCTAAGCCATTGTATGTCACGTAGATAATCTACTTGCTTTTTAGAGGTGGTGAATTAGCCTGAAGTATATCTAAAAATTTTCCTTTGGCCAGGTGTGGTGGTGTGTGCCTGCAGTCCCAGTTGCCTGGGAGGCTGAGGTGGGAGATTGCTTGAGCCTGGCAGGTGGAGGTGGTAGTTCTCTGAGATCGCACCACTGCACTACTGCACTTCAGCCTGGGCGAAAGAGTTGAACCTGTTTCAAAAAAAAATGTTTTTCCATTTAATTTTTTCTACATGATTGCCTGATAGTAAAAGCCAAAATGTGGTTTCCTTAGTTTTGTATTAGCAGTCCACATGGGTTGTTTTTTGTTTTTTGCTTTTTTTACCTATTTGTGGTGAAAAATTTTAAGCGTATTCAAAAGTTGAAGTAGTATATTGAGCCTCTTTGTATTCATTAGCTAATTTTGGTAATTATCAACAGATGGCCAGTCTTCTTTCCTCTGTATCCCATCATGTTCGAATTATTTTGAAGCAAATCTCAGAATTCATTGTTTCATTAATTAACACTCTGGCATATATATTTAAAAGATAAAGGCCCTTTTTGTTTCTAAAATGCTATCACAGTGTCATTATTATACCCTTAAAATTGGCAGTAATTCTGTAATGTTATGAAATAGCCAGTGTTCAACTTTAGATTATCTTAGAGTTTTTCCTCTGTAGTATATTTGAGCCAGGAGCTAAGTAAGTTCCACCCAAACAACATATTTTGTGGTTCATTAAGTTTAGTTAAATCTGTGGCTTTAGAACTTTACCAAGGGAAGAACTGTAGATGTTTGCATTTCTCATCGTCATAATGAAAACCTTCATTTTAATTAATGGAATTACTAGTTGAAGAATACATTGGTGAACAAAGTAAACATTTGTCTCTGTTTTAGTAATTTTAAAGAATGGTGTTTTGACTTTAAAGCTTTAATTCTTATCTTTCTCTAGGCAGGTAATAGATAAACTTTTCTTGATTTTGTTCATTTTCATTTTGATGATTTTAAAAATGCCTGTGGTTACTTGAGCCCCGAAGTTCAAGACCAGCCTTGGCAACATAGTGAGAACCTGTCTCTTAAAAATATGTGTGTGTGTGTGTGTGTGTGTGTGTGTGTGTGTGTGTGTGTGTCTATCTATATATATATATACATATATGTATCTTCATTCCAATTCGACTGTGTAAGACAAAGTCCTTGCACTTAAAGTAGAAGGGACATAGTCAGCAGAACATAATAATGAATGATAGGCTGTTGTATTTCTTCTGTTTGGCCTGCTTTTTGGTTTAACTTGCTCTTCTCCCTGTGTTTTATGACTCCGTCTAACAGGAGAGCCTTATAGACGCAAGTGAAGACAGCCAGCTAGAAGCTGCCATCAGAGCCTCCTTACAAGAAACACACTTTGATTCAACACAGACAAAACAGGAGAGCCGCTCGGATGAAGAATCTGAATCTGAACTTTTTTCTGGCAGTGAAGAGTTCATATCTGTTTGTGGTTCTGATGAAGAGGAGGAGGTAGAGAATCTTGCCAAGTCCAGAAAGTCTCCCCACAAAGATTTGGGGCATAGAAAAGAGGAGAATAGAAGGCCACTGACCGAGCCCCCAGCCAGAACTGACCCTGGAACAGCCACAAACCACCAAGGATTGCCAGCCGTGGATTCAGAAATACTGGAGATGTCACCTGAAAAGTCAGATGGAGTAGTGGAGGGCATAGATGTAAATGGTAAGTTACATTTTATACACATACTTTACCTAAAACTTGGATATTGGGGCCGGGCGTGGTGGATCACTGAGGTTAGGAGTTCAAACCAGCCTGGCCAACATGGCAAAATCCTGTCTCTACTAAAAATACAAAACTTAGCCAGGTGTGGCGGCACATGCCCGTAGTCCCAGGTACTCGGCAGGCTGAAGCAGGAGAGTGTCTTGAACCAAGGAGGCGGAGGTTGCAGTGAGCTAAGATGGCACCACTGCACTCCAGCCTGGGGGACAGAGCAAGACTCTGTCTCAAAAAAAAAAAAAAAACACCTTGGACATTGAGCTGGGTCCAGTGGTGTGATCCTGTAGTCCCAGCTACTGGGGAGGCTGTGGCAGGAGAGGCTCTTGAGGCCAGCCTGGGCAGCACTGTGAAACTTTGTCTCTGTGGGAAAAAACCAAAAAATTGAATAATTGCTGAATGGCTTTATTTATTTACATATTTATTTAAACTAATTGTCTGTCTTAAACTTTATGTCCTGTTTTGTTTTGTTTTTTTAAACCCTTTCTTTAGGACCAAAAGCACAGCTGATGTTGCGGTATCCAGATGGAAAAAGGGAACAGATCACTCTTCCAGAGCAAGCTAAACTGCTAGTAAGTACAGGCTTTGGTCATTTCCAGACCACTGCAGTGAGATGAGTCACAAACTGGTTTCTTGGTGCATATTAAAGTTACATTTACATTATTCCATAGTCTATTGTGTGTGCAGAAGCATTATATCTTTAAAAATAAAAAGCACATAACTTAATTAAAAAACACATTTGCTAGAAAGTGCAACGATCATCTGAATCCTCACTGAGTTGTCATCTTTTTGTTGGTGGAAGGTCTTGATTTATGGCTACTGACTGATCAGGGTGATGGGTGCTGTGGCAATTTCCTAAAATGTGACAGCAATGAAGTTGCTGCATCAATTGACGATCCTGTTTACAAAAACTTTCTCTGTAGCATGTGTTGCTGTTTGATAGTATTTTACCCACAGTAGAACTTCTTTCAGAACTGGAGTCAGTCTTCTCAAACTTTGCCCAAGCTTTATCTACTAAGTTTATGTAGTATTCTAAATCCTTTGTTGTCATGTCAACAATGTTCACAGAATCTTCACCAGGAGTAGATTCCATCTCAAGAAATCAGTTTCTGCCGGGCGCGGTGGCTCAAACCTGTAATCCCAGCACTTTGGGAGGCCGAGGCGGGTGGATCACGAGGTCAAGAGATCGAGACCATCCTGGTCAACATGGTGAAACCCCGTCTCTACTAAAAATACAAAAAATTAGCTGGGCATGGTGGTGCGTGCCTGTAATCCCAGCTACTCAGGAGGCTGAGGCAGGAGAATTACCTGAACCCAGGAGGCGGAGGTTGCGGTGAGCCGAGATCGCACCATTGCACTCCAGCCTGGGTAACAAGAGCGAAACTCTGTCTCAAAAAAAAAGAAAAAAAAAAAAA